AACACAGGCTGGTGTGCAACTGCCACCCATAACTGATCACTGGGTTCATCGTTCTTTGGTGAAACTGTGGCTGGATGAGCTCAGGATTACCTAAAACTCTTGCCATTAGTCAAGTCCATTAGGGTGAACCATGTCTGCATATTTGCATTTCATCCCAACTCTTTTACCTGCTGCTGAATATGACGTGTTCAGAAGTAGCTGTGGAGCGCTGTGTGCGAGGCCAAGAGGTTACAAATGGTATCTGAAATCTGGAATCCTGCAAGACACGCGCATCAAGTGGTGCCATTTATGTTTTCAAGCTGCAGTTCCACAGCACATGAAATGCTTTTACCCAACAAACAAGCACATCAGCAAAACAAATTAGGCCCACATGTGAGAGCAATTGGTGAGAACGATTCAGGGAAATACAAGCGTAAACAAGTAAACAAGCACTCAGTAACAGGTCTGCTTTAGGGAAGGCCTGACTTTTAACCAGCGGGTTTACGGTGGAAGTGTTATGTGTTATTCGCTAATATCATTATGTACTGATTGAGTTTATTAAGAAGACTATGATGCTGAAGATAAGCTGACTGGCAAACACGGCTCGTCTGTTTTGCCTGCCTCACTGGAACTCGGGCAATTTAGCCGACATAAAAAGGCAAGCATGGGGAAAACATAATAATTTTTAAGAGCTTATGTTTCAGCCATGTGGCTTCTGAAAAATTACATCAGCATAAAAATAAGATTACATTTGGCAGAATCACTCATGGTTCTCAGAGAGCATGGGGCCATCTGATTTTTGTGATCCACGGACTTTGAGTCTAGCAATTGCAGCGGATCAAACTTTTCCCTTATTCTAAGCTGCTGGTTACTGATGACACACCCTCGAGACGTTGACGTTTATTTTTGAGAGACAGAGTAAGGAATATTGCATTTATTCCAATCAAATATGGTTCAGGTGCTCAGATCCTTCTAAGGATAAATGGTTAATAAAGCTTAGTGAGACTTAGATTTTTTGTCCACCCTGTAATAAAAGGCTTTAACAGAGATGTGAGCACATGTGAGATACCACGACATAAGAAATGAATCAAAAACTGAAGCAGATACTGAACGCTGGCTGAAACACAACAGTGTTCTTCACCAGACTCTTGTTTGTCTTGAGTATTTTATCATCACTGGATGGTTTGTGTCGTGTTGTCCACCAGCTATGAGCAATAAACGCAAACACAATTTCAAATTCATGTCATTTCGGCCCTTTTCTTGTCATGTGCCTCTCAGACTACAAGTGACCTAACGACACACTATGAACTTGTGAAACTCTGTTTACACTGAAAACCATTAAGATTCATAGAAACACTTAGATACCATACGTAGGTAACTCAAAACCTGAAAATTCCTGCATGCTAAAAATAAAGACAATCTCTTTTTAGAAAATCTCAAAGGTAAATAATCTCATTGCACACGTAATACATTTGTTATTTTGCTCGTGTCAAGGTTAATCAGTGATTTGAAAGTAATTTTTCAGCCAGAGCTAAACAAGAAAGGAGTCCGACAAATGAACGTGATGGTCTAGTTTCAAGCATCTTCAACTTGCAGATTTTATAAAGCTACACAGGGTTAAAAATAATTATCCACCCATGTTCAAGGTTTTATAAGAACAACTGGAGCAACTGAAATATTTTTGCTCAACCCACAGGAAGATTATTTCTAAGTTCAAATAAGTATAATTCAGTGTTTTGTATTCTAGTAGGATATCTTCTTGCAGTACAAGTGAAACTTTCTCTCTGTCTCTCTCTGCTTGGAACTAAAAGAGTTCAGCAGGCATCGTGCTCCAGTTCTGGAGGCATCTCTACATGGTGTACGCAGACCTCCAGCGCCCAGTCACGGCCAGACTAGACAAAACAACGTGTTCTAATCCCTCATTGCCATGGAAACCAAAGCATAATGCTCCCCTAACAGACACCTGGCTGATGGATCGAGGGAAGCAAGGGCAAGAGGAACTGAGAAGAACCTCCTCAGCACAAGTTCACGCAGCAAAATAAACACTTTTTTTGTATTAGATAAGTTAAACTTCACAAATCAAAACTATTTTGGTTACACCTCTGCAATCTCCAACTTTCTGACTCAACTCAGCATGCTGTCTCAGCCAGAGTCCAGGCAAAGGTCAACCTTTACAATGTACGCATGAGCTCACGCAGCTCTCTGCCTGCCTGACCCTCTCCACCTAGAAAACCTAAAGGCATGGTCCATCATGATTCCCATCAGACAGACAAACAAGGAAAGGCCTGCAGGATGAGCTCACGCAGGGCAAGCCAGCATGACACTGCATGCCTGGGAGTGTGTGCGAGTCTGAGTCCTTGCATCTACGTGTGTGTTTGTGTGTGATGCGCTTAGCATCGAGAGGGTGGTAATCTGTAAATCTGCTTTGCCTTGGGCAGGTGGTGTGAAACTTGGCAAGCAAGACAGAATGAGAGACAGACAGACATCGTGTGAATGACAGATGAGTGTGATAGAGAGAGGAAAAAGAAACCACGTGAGAGTGGTTTAGATTACATAATTAGCTGGGTTTTTTTATTCCTATGTCACTTGTTTACATACTTATGCATACGTCTATATCAATTTAAAAAATATCTTAAATACAGGCTAGTAAAAGTTTAATCACAGGCTGCTAACATTTGTAACTGCAAGGATTTATAAAAATATCTTATTGCTAACAAATCCCTGAAACCAGCAACCAGCTGATCCTATTATGAAGTATTCTCTGTGTAGCCAAAGGCGTTTACATCCTTCTCTTTCAACAGCCTCCCATTGTTGGCGAAACAAAACTATTAAAAAAAAAACACATGAGCCTTTCCTTGCGTTGTAAATACTGGCTGGCATCAAATGTGTGCCATTAAAATCTACAGTGCTCAGCTGTTTTGGAGAATTGCTTCACTTCATTAAAGAAAAGAAAAGCGCCGATCATTAGGTTTTCTATTTATTTATTTGTTTATTTTTATAAGTAGTCCTGACTGATATCCACCTTAGAAAAGGAAAGAAAGCTAAATAAATCACTAAACTTTTTACCCCGAACAATACAACCCAGACTTCCCGAGGGCAAGTGAGAGCACAAACATTTAAAGTGGCCTTTTACTGACAGCCAAAATAAGTGACACGCAGCAGTCAGAGCCAACACATCTCTGTGCAGTTACTGCAGATCTTGCCCTCTCTGATCAAGGCAAACACCTGAGCAGGGCCTGGGTGGGAGCAGGCGTGAGCGAGACAAAAAATAAATAAAATTATAATACTCAGGCGGGCAGACAGACTGCCACAGACTAAGATAAAGCGTAGCGGGAGCAAAGGAGGAAGACAGAGGCAGCAAGCGGACAGGAGAGTGAGAGTAAGCAGGGAGGGAGGGAGAACGTGGTGGTACACGTGACGCTGGCTCAGCCACTGCAGGCTGTTACGTAAGCGCACCCCCTGCCCTGTCTCCTCATGGTCTGAGCAGACTCTGCTTCTCTCCAATCCCTATCCCTGCAGCCGCTGCCCACTTTTTTTTCTCTTTCACTCACATGGCTCCTCACATGGCTGCTTCCCTCGCTCCCTCAATGACTCTCCCTCCATCTCTTTCACTCACTCTCCTCCACCCACTCATTGCACCCCAGGGGAGCCACCAACCTCTACTGCCTTTGCTGTCACTCTGTCTCTCTCCTTCTGTTTTTGTCTGTCTGCTTGCCTGCCTCTCTCTCTCTTTCTCTCTCTCTCTCTCTCTCATTATTTCCATCAATCGTTTTTCTCTCTCTCTCTCTCTCTCTCACTCTCTCTCGTGCAGTAAGGCTGCAGCTCCACACTCAGGGCTACGCGGATATGACAAAGAGAGGCCGCAAATACATGCTCGAGCACACTCATGCACACCTACACAAACTGACATTTCACATATCGTTACCGCACTGTCTGGCTTCTCGAAGCCGCTTTTAAAAAAAGTGACTGTTTTTCCACTTTGAATTCCTCTTATCTTGTTCCAACCAACTGTTGAATCATTTGCCTTTCAAGTAAAATAAAAAAAAGCGCACCAAAAAAAAACAAAACAACACATAGCTTGGCTGACTGACACACAATACAAACACAAATAGGGAAAAGCAAAACTCTGACTCCTCAAGCAGCTGGAAGTCAAACAAGTTGCCGTGTGCTATATTGAGCAACGTAGTCCTGACAGTATTAGTAATACCATTATACTGAAATAGAAGGTAAAAGAACATACATTTGTTCTGCTTTATTAAGCTGTGCCTTAAGTGGACTAATAATAATCACATGCATGCATGAAACATGCAAACGTGCTTTCCTACCACTTTTCTTTAAAACAAGACAAACGGAGCTGCAAACTGAGCAAAGCAGTGGACGATT